TCTCCTTTTATACCCTCCCCCTCTTCTCTCATTCTCTCGCTCTCTCTTAGTCTCTTTCTCCTTCCGTAACCACTCTTGCATTAGCGAGGACTGATTCCCTTGGGAAAATTGCGTTCTCGAAACTGGAAAGTTTAACGTGGTACGCACCTGCCAGGACTTTACCGTCTACGTAGTCCACCAGGGAAACTTTATTCTTTCCGTACCTGGAACATCGAAAATGGACAACTACCGCCTCATCTTTTCTTCCCCGGCACGGTAAGGCGATTCCACGGGATTTATTATTTACACGTCGACGCTGGAACACGTAACTTCCTCTACTCCTCCGTCGAAACGAATGTCGTCGTGAGTAGGAAGCGAATGGAAAACGAATAAAGGTTAAGTTGAGAGAACGATGAGAATCAATTGACCAAGAGCCTCCTGGTACTAATAGTAGGCATTAATCACCGAGAGAATCGCCGATAGAACGCACGCGTTTCATGGATAACATGCACGAGGATTGGGGTGGCTCGTACTTTCGGACACGCGAGGGGTTCCCCCGTTCGTTATCTCTGATACCAATATTCGCACTCTCTTCACGCGTGGCCCGTGTTGTGTATATACATCGTGTACACCAATTGACAACTGCTTCCCTTTTCACATCGCCGTGATCCCCTCGATCCTCCACTCTGCTCGTACCACCGCCGCCCGGTGATATCTCAAGTGGCGGGCGTCGTGCACGCGAGCTTCGTCAACATCGATGGGACGTCGAGGAATTCCCGTCTCTCTCGTCCAACTTCCTCGATCGATCGTTTCTTCTAACCTAGTGTCACACGTTCGATTATCGGTGCGATCTGACGGCGGCAATGTTCGCCACGGACGAGCGTGCATGCAGCCCAGGAGACAGAAGGAACAGAGGTCAACCGGGTGGAGGTGTAGAAAGAGGCAGGTGAAAGGAGGGGAAAAGAGGAAAGACGGACGTAGAAGAGGAGACGAGAGGAGAAGAGAAAGGGACACGAGACCGAGGAGAGAAATTTGCGGGATCGTAGATGTAGAGACACGGCGGGGCGCGCTGTAAATTACAAGCGGAGCGCCAAACCGCTATGGTCTTCTCTCGGTGGCGCAGGGGTGTCTAGACGTATAGATAATACCGAGTTTGTGCGGGGCAGACGCAACCTAGACGGTCCCTGGTTCATCCAGCCACCCGAACCAGCCAGCCAACCAGCCAGCCAGCCAGCCAACCGGGCTAGGCTAGACACATCGACCATGCTCCGTTTCTCTCCACCTTTCCCCGTCTCACTCTTTCTCTTTCACCGACGGTATCTACCGTCCCGTTTTCCGCTCTCGTCGCTATCCTTCCAACCTATACTGTCACGCTCCTCGTCGCACTCGGCCATCCGCGGGAATGCCTATGTATATGTGCCTTCCAACCGGATTTCCCATCGTTCCCGTCGCACCGGCTCACGAACGCGAGCTTCCTCCACTCTCTCGGATCCGCCGCGGAAGGCAAGAGACGCAAATCCCTCGATAGCATCGCCGTTTCGATCCGCGATCCCATTGGCAGCGATCGTGACGTGGATGACGCACGAGTTCGCCATCCGTCTTCCCTCCACGCTCGCGTTTCTTCCCATCACGGTTTTTCTAGCCTAGCTAGGTGTCGCGGATCCCGGAGACCTCGAAGTTCTTCCCGTTTCAACCGTGAAAATTTAGCCTGACTCGCGGGGCCGACGGAGTTTCACACGTGTCTCACGGAAATTCCAACGGGAGATAAAGGAACGCGTCCGTTTCGATTTATCGATGCGCTTAGAATGTTCTTGGTAATAACGTTATCGGGGTGTGTGATTCATTGCTGACGAATGGAGAAACAGGTGTTGGTTTTCTTTTTTCGAGCAAATGTGGGACACGTTTCGTTCTTATTAAATGATTTATTTGTTCGACTAAATTTTTGCGGGTCTGTGATCTCAATTCAGTATCCATTAGAGAAGGTAGGATTGAAAGGAGTAATTTAGTCGTGAGAGGGTTGAAGCGATAAGAATCTCAGCAGTGAACTATTTTACACAAAAAATTTGGCACAATTCAAATTTTCAAATTTAATCAAAAATCAAAAGTGCATTTTCCTTAGAATGTCATTTAAATGAAGTGTCCATTTTCGCGACATCCAAATTTGGGCAAAAATTACTGCCAAATCCTTGTTCTCCTTATTCTCAAATTCAGAGAATCGTTTAACCCCCAAATTTTTTATTTCCATTTCTCCAACCGGTAAACCAATTTTGCCCAATTTTCCAACCCCTGCACCGAGCGAGCGTTGAAAAAAAAAAAACACAGCCACCGTCCCATCAATCTTCATTTCTTTCCGTTCAACATTGATTAGCAACGATCCACCTATAAAAGCTAAGCGTTCACCTCGCCTCGTGCCAGAAAATTCCACGGCTCGGTTTGTACATCAGCTCGCGGCTTCGATCAGCGCGGGCTTTCACGAGGAATTAAGGATACACTCCATCCCCCGCGGTGTCCGCATCTTCCTATATCGTTCCGGGTATCCCGCCCCTCTCCCACCCCGGGGGCTGGCCGCCGTTTTAATCGGCCGGCTGCAATGCATAAATCCCCGTTAAATAATACGGCAGTTAACAGTGCCATTAAGCCGTTCGAGATACCGCAAAACCGGTAGGGTGCTCCTCGCTGTACGTGCGAAGTCCGTATTTATCGGCAGCCGACGCGCCGCCACCGAGAAATATTGTTCCGCGTTCGTTTCCACTGCCGTTCGCTGGCCGACAAATACGCCGAAGAGCAAGGGATGGGGTTGAATGAAAAAAAAAAGGAGGAGAGAGAGAGAAATCAAACGAAGGAAGAGGAGAAAAAAAAAGGAGGAGGACGGCGGGGCGATTCAACGTACGGCCAGATGGAAAAACGGGCGAACGTACAAATTCCCATTCTCTCCCTCCCCCGCCACATCGTAATTAATTGTTTCGGGTGTAATGAGCGGGACCGTTTTTACGCGGCGCGAATCGTAATTAGCGGCTCCGTATAAATATGAAATTTTCCCGGGGATTATTTAACGTCACGTCCTCGAGATTGTTTCTGGGACGAATTGTCGCGGGTTCCGTCGAAACGGTGGGAAAGTTTCGAGAAGAAAATGAATGGGAATAAAGTGTTCGGAGTCGTGTTAAACTCTCTCTCTGCCTTCTCGACGGAAACATTCTGGTACCTTGGAGCGTTTCGAACTGGAGAGATGAGGAGAACTCGACGGCGTTTCATGACAGACACTACGAGGGCCCGTTTTAATGATCTCGATTCGATGATTCCGAATGGACCCACGTTTCCTTGCGCTTTAACGAGTGGTCGCGGCGCGATGACGTTTTTTTTTCTTC